TGAAGGGGTGAACTACAAAAAAGTTGCAGCACCATCTGGTGGACAAAGGGCTCATTACACGTCTTGGAGCGCCTTTGCGGTTGCATGCAATGAATCCATGGATGCAGCACTTTAATTCCAGGCGATCCAAACTAAACTACATTCAAGGAGTTTTACTTTAATGTACCAGAAAGACTTTTAAAGTGTCCAGAAATCATGCTCATGCAAACAGTCATGCAGTTGTAGCACAAGAAAGGGTAAAAAATGTGGCATGTACAAAGTCCTTATGTGATTAATCTGGCTATAGGTAAAAATCTGGGATGGGGAAGGCTGCCCAAATAGCAAGCTTTTACTACAATATACCTATTTTGACAATTTTTTTCCTGTTGATGTGTTGCAAAACTGATCCTGTAAAACTTGCATGTCTTGCACAAGTGAGGAACAAAGTTGTTTGCCATACAAATACATGCAGAATCTCTGAGAGTGTGGCATACCAAATATATTTGTTGGAGCTTTACAGTCAACTCTTATACTGGGTACATTTCCTTATAAGGCAAACTCTTCCATCCCCTTGTCTCCTTAGCACTGTTAGGATGGGAGTATCCTCAGGTGGGAGTACCCTCAAGTGGTATGGCACTACTATATTTGGTCTTAAAGTTTATTCTTAGCCATGAGTGTCCCATTCAGTCTTTGAAGAAACTTTGCACTAAAAATAGAGAGTATAATCCTTTTGTACAGGTAGAGAAAAATGCTTAAGAACTTGTTCTTTGCTGTAATCTGTTCAACTAAAAGCCATTCTCAATTTGGAGAAATTCCCTGGCAGTGGTGACATGTAAGGGGTGCACCCCCTGAGAGCACTGATGCACCCCCTGACCGGCTGTGCTCCCCACTTAGGCGATGGGCTGGGGGGACACAGGTGCCCCCCCTGTGAGCACCGTCCAGGGAGTGGGAGCGCCAGATGTAAGCTGCGACCACTTCTGAGAGCAGTGTGGAGCTGTTCCCAGGATGGGAAGTTTTGCCATGGAGGGGACACATTTCCCCGCCCCCCACTCCCCAGTCGGTGAGATGGCACCAGTTGCCCACGTTTCCTGGAAACTGAGACTGCTTATCTGTCCACTCTCTCTACACCAGACCTACAACAGGGGTGGTCATGCCTGTGCTAGTTTATGCAGACAAAATGCTCGATTCCATGTGGCTGACACTATTGAATTTCCTCCTCCAATGGGAGACCTATCAGCAAGCATTTTAAGTCAGTGATAGATTGGCAGAGAATGACTGTGTAGTACCTCCAGGAAGTAGTTCTCAGTTTTGTTGATATTTTTATCTCCTTTTCCTACTACCACTTAAGCATTGATATACGAACAGATATTTTTTTTTCTCAGAGATATTTATTGTTGCTTTTACAATGTGCAGCAAACTATATATTCAGAAGGCAGAATAGCCTTTGGTCCAGCCAGTGTTACTAGGCTAGCTCACTGGCTGTTGGATTTGTTCTACCACGTTCCATTTCCTACAGTGCACACACCCTAGTATCCTGTTGCATAGTCTACAAAGCCTTGCACATGCATTATTACTTAGTGCCTCCCCCATCCTTGTGTTGCCAAAAGTAAGTAACCTGTTCCTGGCCAGGCCTGTTTAAAACAATGTGAAAGCATGATTTTAGTTTGTAAGGGTACAGATTTGTTTGCAAAGGGCTGGTATAATGATGAGGAAGGGACTAGACACCATAACAGCCATCACGTTCCATCTTGCTCTTCCTGAGACTTGCTATTGCCATTACTTCATTATCTTAGTTCAAGAAGCAAGTAAAGAAGTTCTTGACCATAGCCAACTGGAAGCTAGCAATTTTGAAGCACAATTGTAGACCCCTAGTAAGAACAGGAGCATGTATTTGCAATTAACAACCTGTGACACTGGTGGTCTTCTTGTAACTGTGTTTGATGATGGATATTATGAGGCATGGTCCCACATCGTCTCTTCAGTGAAAGAAAGATCTTCTGAACCCCAGAAAGAAGCCATCCACAATCCCCTACTACCTTCCCTTTTCATCCTGTCTAGTGGAATTTTTCTTCTGCCTGAATTAGGCCACTTAGTTCCTTGTGCTGGTGGGATAAGCAATTGTGACACTTACCGTACCACAATGAGAATTAAAACCTTTTTGATGTCTCCTTTATAAAATTCCTCAAGAGAACTTTCCCAGTAGTCTGTCTACCTTGCTGTGAAATACAAAAGATAGGCCTAGCCCATAATTTGTCATTGTGCTGGCATATTTCACCCTCCCCAAAGCTCCTATAATTTGGGAAAACTAAAAAAGTGTCATTCTTGATATAAGTATGTCTCTCTGTTAAAAGCCTGCAAGTATAGAACTTGCAGCTGAGGTTGGATATCTGTGTCTAAAGAAGTGAAATTCAGCCTTTTATAATGAATCCACTAAATGGTGTCTAAGTCACCATTTGTGGATTATAAATTCATCAGCGCTCTGTTGTCTTCAGGAACCTTTACCTCCTCATCTGTCTTGTTTGCTTTTTTTGTCCCTCCCTTGGAGTACAGTCTTGAACCTATAGCCTGAGAATCTGAATAATAAATGATTGTACACTATGTACATTTCAAAAGTATGGCTGCAAAGGTCATGTCATTGGTGCAGTTTGCCTCCGTTTGCTCTGTGGGAGAAGGACTTTTACCTGTTTGCATTCATTGAGGTATTGAAGCTGACTGGTACTTGTCATCAGATTCCCAAAAGAACTAAAAATGTGTTAACCCACAGAAGACGCATTATAGACGAAACTAAAGCAAAAATGAAGTATCTAGGTTTTAAAAATGGATTTGCTATCCAGAACTCTTGATACTACTGGATACGAGTCCTGGATTCACTGAACTGATGCAGTGCGTAGCGCCCCATAACTTCCTGCTACTTAGGGTAAGGAATCAGCTGTCACTATTGAACTCTTTGTATCCTGCTCGTCACAAGTTGGGAAGAGAGGTAGAATGTGCTCCTAGCTAAGTTAAGAACTCAAAGTAAACTCCTAGTGAAGTGAGGTCAGTTTTGATGTAAATTAGCAAACCAAGTTAATAAGGACTAGACTTCACCAGTTTAACTTACATGTAAACTTCCTTGTCGTCACTAGGATTTTTTCTCATTACCATCTCAAATGTAGACAGTGAAGACAAGGCCTTTCTGGGGGCAGGAGGGCAGGTATAACTACGTGAGTATGAAATACAATAGGTAGCTATTGTATTGGACATGGATGTGTGAGTTCAGTTTCTATAGTTACACTAATTATTTGAGACTTGATGCTGTAGCCCAACCCAGGTCCTTTTTAAATGCCAGTAGCCCTATAAATTATTTTTTTAAGCATAAAAATAGATTTAAATTAATGACATTTTTAAAAATCTGGCATTGGAAACTTTTAAATTCTATCATTAAACCATTTCTATTTCTATCGTTAGTTTTGTCCCCTTCTCACCATCCCCCACTTTTTCCCCTCTCCCTCCTCCCCCACATCCTGAAATCCCTTTGACAATGGAAAGCACCTGCTGAAAACCAGGACTCTTACTCATGTCCTGGAGAGCTAGCCTAGCCTTTTTTAAAAGGCTTTTAATAACGTTTGGTGTTGCAAAATGATTTCTTTTTCCTTTTCATTTCAATACGAGCCAAGGGGTGGGGAAAATAAAAATCTGGAGTATTTTGACCTTAGTGGCATTCTATAGACTCTGTTAGCTTTCTTTGTTGTTCTGCCAAGCTCCTTTTTTTGTTTAAACAGATATCAGACCAAGCTAAGTAATCATCATTTTTAATAAAAAAAAAAAAAAAAATTCTTTTTCCATCCAATTAATGTTGGTGAACATATGGCTCCTAGATAAGGTCCTATGACAACTATTTATGACTTCCTTAGTGTCAAAAAACGTTGCCCAAGGCATGGATGAAATTTACTTTCCCCAAATATATGGAGGAATCTCTCAGTAACAGAGGACCCTCTCCTGATTGATGCCAAGGAAGTATTTTTGCCATTTGTGATTTCTGTCTTTAAAGAGGAAAGAAAGAACTAATAATAGATCCAGATTTGGAATTTGGGTTGTAGTGATGCCAACAAAGCTTTCTGAAGGGTGGAAATCTACCTCCTGGGTTTCATCTTCAACACATGGTAATATCTGTAACTTAACTTGAAACTATGGGCTTACAATCTGTAATCTGTTAAATTGGATTTCTGTGGGCTGTTGCAGATCCAAAACACCACACAGCTTTATGTATAACCAGTACTGTGTGTATCTTGAAAATAGGGTGTCTTTTTTTTCTTTTCTTTTCTCCTGCTCCCTGGAAAAGGATCTTCTAAATTTTACATTCTTACCTTGTGTGAAAGAGAAGGCCTTGAAGTGTTTCAGTTTTTCTCTGTCTTTTAGATTTTTGCCTTGCAACAAGCAGCACAGAAGGGCATGGCTAAATACATGTTGAGCAAGGCAGCATGCAGCTAAAAGCCTGCAAAAAGGTCATCAATAGTTTCCCTACATCAACTTGCTAAAAGGAGGCAGTGTCACAATAATGAAAATAACAGATGGAAATTGTTTGGCCCCATTTTGGGAAGATTGGCACACCATATACACTTCCATGGTATACAAGAATTGTTATGTACTAGATGTTAGTGCTTCAAACAGAGAAGGTTGAAAGTTGGCTTTTTAAAAGCTTAATTAATTTATTACGGATGTCCTCTACATAGAGATAATTGTGTAGTCAGGTTTAGGTCTCTTAGACCTACCATGAGTATCAGATCCTTAATTTGTCACCATTGGACATCTGTTAAATGTACAAATATAAAAAGTGCTATTTTGGATCAGATGCATGGTCCAGTGAGCCCAGTATCCTGTCTCCAACTGTGGCAAGTAGTAGGTGCTTTTAGAGTAGGGGTGTTAAACTCCCTTGGCTCCTCCAGTAGTAGGCTGAGAAGCAGCATTAAGGGTTGAATATACCTTCTGTCTTTTCCGCCCCCCCCCCCTTTGTGTAACTTCAATTTGTTCATTTTTTTCAGGTATATTATTCTTGTGGTGCAGTGTTGGAATCCATGGAAAGAGGTCTGATTTTATCCCCCGGTTTTCCAAACAACTACTACCCAGGGACGCACTGCGTATGGCAGTTTTTCATTCCTGTGCAAACTCATCTTATCCTGGAAATTTTTGATTTTGATATATTTGCGAGCTCAAGTGAAACTCCTGAGCCCTGGGATGGCTTTACATCTCCTCCTACAAGAAGAAATAAGGAAATGCCTTCCAGTGAAGAAAGCTTGGATTTTCCCACCTCTCTTCCTACCACAAAATCCTTTCTTCAGACCTGGATGGCAAGGGTGACTCACAATCTCAACAGCCCAGGACCTCAGTCAAAATTCCTTGATGGCCTCCATGATGAATTCCCAGGAACCACCTTAAAAAAAGATGAAGCCAAACAAGCATCTGAAGAAAAACAGTTGAAACAGATGGAAGAACCCAAAGAAATAGCCAGGACTCAGCCAGGTGGACTGTCATTCACTGTGGCTGGCAATGCTGCAGTGCCAAGGCAAAATATCAGTGGCTTGGAAATGAACAAAGATTTGAAAGGGAAAATACTGCTTGCTCACCTCACTGCAAGAGAGGGAGACCAGGTCATTGGAGAAAGCCAGACTCTTTCCACAACAGCTCTGCCAACAGAAAGCTCTTCCTCACAGCAGCCTTCAATAGATGTATGTCCCCATGATGTCTTGTATGTTTCTGACCTCATCACATTTTCCTCTCGCTTTTGTGGGACAAATTCACCTTTAAACAAGACCATGGTCTTTGGTTCTTCTCTGGAGATGGTGGAGGTTATTATGGAGCTGATCACCACCACAGACCGTGGACGGGGTTTTGCAATGCTCTTTGAATACAAGAACATCACTAAACCTAGCAGTGTAGATGCTGGGAGGCAAGCAGGAAAGGAAAACATGATGATGCTTACAGTAGTAATGGGAATTATCATTTTTGCACTCATTCTTTTGTCCACCCTCTGCATAACTTGCAGGTAAGATTTTAATATATTTACTTATTCTGAGTTTTTCAAACTGACCCTGCTATGAAATCAAGCTGTACTTGATGTCATGAAAATGACCCCAGTTGTGAAGGTTTTGCTTTGTATTAATTTAAAACCAAATGTGGATAGACTGATCTTCCACCAGCATAAAATCAGGCTAAATTTCTGCTGATCATATACTGTTAATGCTAGGAGTATCTGTCTCCCTATTAAATTCTTCAGTATTATACATATTTGGGGTTTGAAATCTATTAGCGGTTATACACTGACAGTATTGAAGCTTGAAGTTTAGTGCAACTTACCAACACAGAGCTGAAGACCAGACTTTCTCTGGGCACTTTGGGCCCAAAAGCTTGTCCAGCATCTCTCTCTACCATTGGTTCAATAAAAGTTACTGCCAAAAAAATGCTTGCTTCTCATAAAGCTGGCAAAAGCATACTTCACCAGTAGATTTAATTTCCCTATATTTCTTCTTTCCTTTGCTTAGATTAATGGTTCTAAAAAGGGGGGGCACTAATCACTGGGGGCATATGGCAAACTTCTAGAGACCATACAGTAATAATAAATAGGAAAGAAGAATAATGGCGAGGAGAAATTTATAAATGGAGGAAAAGAGAATAAGTGGAAAAGAAGGAGAAAAGCTCTGCAACGTCTCCTGGACAGTTGGGGAAGATGCACTGTGAATGATTGAAGTGGCATAGTGTTGTTTTATTATCAATAACACACAATCTATAGGACTTCAAAGTCACATGATAAACTTCATAATAACTTTTTCAGAGTTGCTTTTTAAGAACTGTTGTTGCAAGTTAACAGTGGCATGCTTCGAGAGGTGTGGTTAGGGACAGTGACCAGATGATGCCTGAAAGGATATCGAAGTCAGGGCACCTATACACGTGCCAGATGTTTTCTCTGATGCGTGCTAATTAATCAAGCCTGCTGGAGCATGTTAATTAATGCACTCTAGCAGCCTCTGTGTCACGTCTGTTCAGCACCCCCATGCTTCAAAATGGCAGTGGGGGCACTTGAACTAAAGCCTGCCATTTTGAAGTGTAGGACACTGAATACACGTGACACTGAGGGCACTTTAATTAGAGTGACTCTCGGAGCTGCTCGAATTAAAGCGCACCACCCACCCACCCTAGAGCGCACGTATAGATGCCCACCTGACCTTATATCACCCCGCTTGTCCTACTGCTTCTTTGGTCAACATTTTAGCTGAAGTCTGGTTTTCTTCACACAGTGCTGTTGTGGTTTTTTGCTGGAAAAATATCATTCCAGCTCCTGTCACTGTGTAGAGATCTGCAACAGCACAACTGCTGGGAACAGCATCCATTCTTCCAGGGCAGGATCTGACTGTCTTAATCATGACACTGTCCTTATTGTTCCTCCTGTCCCCACTGTAAGAGATGAATCTGGGGACCTAGAGATTACAGCTTCCTCTACTGCGTGTGCCTGACTTTTTTTACCAGACCAAGTCTGTTCTAAGCGCTAAATGAAGCAAACCAGCTCTTGTAGGGAAAAAAACCACGCAACCGCCAAGTCATTCAAGTTTGTATCAGAATGCATAGGTGCAAGAAGGTTGCACGGAGGTTGCACAGGTAAACTAAGTTCAGGCTTCTCCTCAATTTAGTGTTTAGTGTAGTGTCTTATCTGTAATACACATCAACATAGCAGTATTTTAAAGAGCTCTTAATATTTTAAGGTGTTGTGTTTAACTTTTCATTTTGTCTTATCAGAGTGGGGTCCCTGGACATCCCAAGTAGACATAAAACATAGTCCCTCACTGCACTATGTGTAAAGGGATGTAGACAAAGTGGGTATGAACAAACATAGTCTCCCTTTGCTGTACATAGAAGTTGCTGCCTTCAGGATCTCACTGTAATTTTGTTTATAACTGAAACCTTGCATAACTTTAAGAGTTTGATTTGCATGTTATACCTAATCTCTTTTTTTCCCCTTTCTTAAGGATCCTGCTAAATACTGTAATTTAGACCACAAATATTTGCCAGCCCTAAACTGGAAACATCTGCTAGAAATATCTTCCAGATTTTAAATATTTGATTTTTAAACTCTTGCCAGTCTTAAAGAAAGAAAGAGAAGCTGCCATAGTAACAGTTGGAGCCAGGTTCTGGGCCAGATTCTGATATGCTTTTTCGGGTTGTGTAGTCTCTTTCTCCTTAAATTATCTCACTTGGTTTGTGGAACTCATCATGGAGCATGGTAAAGCTCAACCCAATAAGTGGGGTTTTTTTGGCTTCCAACCTGTCAAACAACACTCTGAGTCCACTTTGAAAGGCATCCTTACTTTGACATTCATCTTTCTACAAATAAGAGGCAATATTTTGGCTTTGGAAAGGAGACTGTTTTCAAAATAATGAATTAGTTTGGTCATAATATATGGAATACAGTTTTGGAGGGTTTTTTGTTTTTTAACTTTTATACAGATCTCCTAAGAACAAAGGCTATTGTGAATATATATAACTATGATTAGGGTTGCAGAAAATTTTTTCCCTGATTAGCTTGGCTCCTGGCTTTTTGCACTGCTGTGCTTTCAAGAATACAGTTGTTTAGTTATGTAATGTGCATATTTATGCTCTTTGTTTGCTTGCTATTTTTCTATTCCAGTGGACTATACTCATGTGCAAACCTGCCTGTCTTTCCAGAGGCTGGTTATTTGGTGTACATATACTGATTTATTGACAAACTTTTTGTATGGATGGTGAAATTTCTGCTGACTTAGCCAGTTTCCATAATGTTGGCAGAGGCTACACTATTTTTCTTTCTCACGGTTTTATCTGTACAAGCCTGTGATCTAGCCACTGCTGCCCAACTATTTTGGCTTTTGTTGTGCAGCTTGCCCTAAAGTTTACAATATACCTAGTAATCATGGACATTTCAAAAGCACATTTCAGAATGGATGGAAAAAAGCCTGACCACCAAGTGTTTCTGATTTGCATGTGGCTCAAATAGAGATTTGTGCTGAGGTGTCCACATTTTGTTTTACTTGCAGAAAATGTTAAAAGTAGTCAAATCTGCAAAAGGGGGAGACTAGGAAAAAAGAGAAGGTCTGAGATGTCAGGTAAGGTCCTCATCTGATCTTGGCTCAATAGCACAGGGGTGGGAAGGTAGGTTTGAAATTCAGGGTTTGGTTGTGTCCATTAGAGCAGTGTTTCTCAACTCATGGGTCACAACCCAAAAGTGGGTTACAAGAATATATGAAAGGGTTGCGAACAAACTTTAAAAAATGGATTCTCCTTTTAAAGGAGAAAAATGTGGGAAAACATGGCTTTTCTCTTGCAGGCTGGCAGAGTTCCAGCCTGTGAGGGGCTGCTTGGGGCCCCCCATGCCCCACACATGGGTGGGAGGGGGGGCTGTGGCCTGGGGATGGAGAGCAGCAAGTCGGGAATGAAGGGCATTGGGTTGGGACTGGCCACTGATGTTTACAAATGGATCCTGTTACAAAAAAGGTTGAGAAGTGGGAGCCATAACACATGGGTACACATTGTAGAGATTTCAAGTTCCTTTGCTGAAGTTGGCTTTGGAGTAGCATCAGGCATGGGGAAGTTCTAAATTAAAGATGAAGCAGATGCCCTTTTTGGGTGAAATCTTGGAATGGCAGCTCAATCTAAATTTAGGTCTGGTGGAACCAGTTGCCTCAGTTGAACTTTTCTTGAACATAGCTCCTTGAGGACCAGCTTGTATGTAGAAACACATATTTAAATGGAAAGAATCCCACAAAGAGGCACACAATCTGAAATGGGACCAGCAGCTGGGGAATGACAACACCGTGCCTAGGATGTCCCTTTGTAGAGGAAATACCACTAGAAGATGCTAAGAATAATCTCCTAGCTCTTTTGGTCTTCTGAATTGTTCTTCCACCTCCCTCTTTTGTTTTTTACCCCGCCTCTGCCTGCTCCTCTAGCAGCAGAGCAAGTTGGAGTTTAGATGCACATTCCCCATGTTTAGCTGCCACTGTTTCTCAGCTAAAAGTAGCTGCTTCTGCCTTGCCAAGCCCATCTGTGCCATTTCTACCCCTGGCACCTAGTATCATTCTAATGAACAGTCATCAGCAATGTCAGACTGCTCAGACTCATTTCATTCAGCCAGAGCAAAGCTCTCTGGGGAAACTCCAAGTTTCTGCCACACTGTTGCTTTTGTTTGCTGTTTGGGGAGGGAATGAAAGCTTCAGTTGTTAGTTGGCCAGTAATTCTAATTACTTTTGGCCAAGAGGCCTGGCTTGACTACTTGGAGTTTTTTTCATTTTCTTTCCCAAGCCCCCTAGAACAAGAGACATGTCCACCTTATTTAGTTTAAATCTTGCCTGATGCAATGAGACTTTTGCTCAATGGGTGCAACCCATGAGATGCAACTACATTTTACATCTCTACAGCCTGCCCAAAAGCTGATTCTGAGCAGAACCTTTATGTACACAGCTGTTTTATGTGGAGGTTCACCCCACCCCAGGTTGCTATAAAGGGTTTCTACTTTCAGTCTGACTTTTGCTTGGTGGGTAGAAACAGCATGAGAATGGATCATCTAATACAATTCCATAATAATTATGAATAGTTGGGTTATAAAGCATTACTGGCCAGCCAGTTGCCAAGTACTTCTTCTTAAAACCATAACACTTCCCAGGGGAATCTCACAAACACTAGAGATCTCAGGGTCAAAAGCAGAATGGTTAACTGCCAGTCACTGCAGCTTTGTGCTGCGTGTGGTATCCAGGGTATGTTCTTCTTGATAGGCTCCAGTGCCTTCCACCTCTGTTTATTTCTCCATGTGGAATTCTTGCCATTTAAATACACGTTTCAGCAGTCTTGTGCTGTACAGAGGAAGGCATTGGGACAGCTGAACTCAATGAGTGCACACCAGTCTTTTAACTGCACTATCCATTGACAGACACTTTCAGTCCATAGGTCTTGCAAGCAGTATGTGAGCACATCTATCACTTCAAATTGTTTCTTTTCCTCCGGATAAGTTGTGTGCATGTAGCATGTGCTCATCACTATGGTAAGAACTCTGATTCTATGTAGGCCTAATAAAACATGCCTTAAGCTAAAAATTATAAGGTTGTCAAAAATTATTGTTCTGTGGCTGATGGGACATGTCCCATTAGGCTGGGAAAGAGGAAACTTGTTAGCAGCTGTTACAGCTTTTCTTCCCGGCTTTTAGTTGAACTGCAGTTTTTAGACAGGCCTCTATCAGACCCTCCTATTCACTGTACATGTACTAGGGAATATATAAGACATTTACCATTTATTAAATTAATGTAATTAATGCATGCATTCCGTGGTGGTGTTTTTGTTGCATATATTTAGGGTGTTGTACAGTGGTGTATCAGGAGCATGTCACATCCTGAATGCAAGCTAGTGGCTTTCTCAGCTGTTTCATAGTGTGTGAGACAGCAGTCATAGTTCTGCTTTCCAGTGTCAAAATAAGAGATGAGCCTAACTCATCTGACTTCTGGCTTCTATTAATACTGGAACATAATCTGAAACTATTCTGAGGGGAGTGGTATACTATGGTGCACAAGAATTAAAGGTGGGGATCTTCAGACAAACATTCCTTCTGTATAGTTTGTGCACTGTTTAAAGGGTAATCAGGATTTTTGCCTGATGAGGAACTGGTATCTTCAGGATTACTTCCAGGTTAGTGTTAGACCTGTCTGCAAGCATATGTCTGTGTTTGTCCCTGTTCCCCTCCCTGTGAGAATTCAAGATCCATCAGCAACTTCAAAGGAAAACTTCAATATTTTCAGTAAGAATTCAAACCTGGATTCTTCTGCTGAAAGGAGACTGAATCAGAGGGTGTCACTGGGGCCTCAGGAGCTGCAGTTGGGGATAGGATTGGCTTCACGTATCCATTGTACTCTAGTCTAGGTTTTTTTGCCAGACTCCCTCACCAGACTAAGCTGCCGTGAAGTACTGTAGTTTTCTGGAGCCACTGCAGCGCATCATGGGAGATGTCATGTGGCTAGGTAACTTCTCCCAAAGAGGACAATGGGGGCATGAGTCCTCCAGACTCCAATTTTTATTTCTTTAATTAAACTCTTGATTTCTGCCAAAATCTTGTTTTCTTCAGCCAAAAACAAGATACTTTTTTTTTCCGGGGGGGGGTGTGGTTTCCTTTGACACAAACCCAGAACTTCTTGTGGAACACCGGATGCTTTTTTTTCCCCCCACGCAATCTTTGATGAAATCCCAGTCTTCTGTCAGAATTTTGTTTCTACTAAAACCAGCCAGCCAGCTTAAGTTAGCCTTAAATGGTCTCCATTCTCGTACTGGTATGAGATAGATATTTCAGTTATTTCCCTCTACTTAGAGCAAGAAATAGCTGTGGTGTTTGTTAATACGCTGTTATGGTAACTGTTAATGAATGGTGATCACTGTGTTTGTGAAGCTTTGTGTGGCATTCGCTCTTTCTACCTGCATTTTGTGGCCATGTCATTGGAGGGAAGTGGGGCAGAATCTGACTACAGATAGGGACCTTTTAAGTAGTGATTTGAATTTCTAAGGCCAAAGAATTCTTGCGAGTTGAGGGGGGAGTTGGCTGTAACACAAATTGTGCCTTAGTTTTTCCGTACACCCTCCCTACTTCTGACTTCCAAAAAGTCTATTAACTCTTGCCCCAGCTTACTGTCGCCGAAGAGAAGTATTTACTACTGGATGACTGAGAACCTCACGCGCTAAATTTTAATATATCAGAAAAAATGTATGTGGAGGAGGGGAAATGCTAAAAATATCATGGCACTAATTGGGACATGCGATTGTTTGCTGTTCAGTAGCGCTGATCATCATCTCTCGTCTGCGCTACATTGTAAGATTGTGGGCAGAGCCTTGGTGTTTGTTCCTAGATTACTATAAATTGTCTGAGGTGGTATTGCTATACACCTAAATGATGCTTCTTTCTTTACAACACTTTGATCTCTGTCACTGGTGTCTGTTCTTCAAATTTTACTGATCCTGGTGGTTCTATAATGCTGATTTTTGGAACAAGATATTTTGGTGTGGATCTTACTAGGGGAGTCTGATTTCACAGTCTTAGAGATTAGTGGCTGCTGTTTTTCTGTAGCATAATCTTTATTAAAAAAATAACATCTGACACTTCTTGTCTTATGAAAACTAATCCAAAATACATTGTTCCTAATCATGAAATGTGTAATATTAATGAGGTTACTGAATTATGTTCCAGCACAAGACTAAGGGAGAAACTAAAGGTCTGCTCTTTTGAGGAGAGTTTAATGGTACTTGAGATGATGCATGGCTTCCACTTCTGGTTCTGCTGCAGACCCGTTGTAGTATCTTGGAAAGCCTAGTTAACTTCTTCTGCCCTGGTTGACTTCCTCCTGAGATGCGTTTTTCCTTGTTGGCCTTGCTACAAGAAGGCTGGTAAAGTGCTTTGGACTCTCAGAAGTAGAAATGTAAGTGCATAGTCATTCAGTTGTGTTCTGTTATTTTTTTTGTCCCCTATTAGAATGATCACGGACGAGAACTTTCCTCCTTTGGAATTTCTAACTCATTCTTGGGCTGTTTGCTCTCTTTCTCAGGCAGAAAATGTGTCCCAAAAGGAGCCCTGCCAATGTGCACAGTGACCAGGAGGTTAGTGTTAATTGTTTCAGTAATTTGTTTCTCTTTTGCACATTGGCTGTTATGTTGTTTATCTGAAGATGTTTACTGGGGCATGTTCTGAGTTGTAGAATGGGATCCAGAACTCTGCTGTTGATATCAATGAGCTCCAGCTTGTGGTGCCAAGTCGAGAGAATGAAAACAACAACCACTCTGTCAGCTGGGAGCAAGTGGGTAAGCAGCACATGTTGGTTCAGCCTAGAGCCCGTTGTCTGTTAAGGGAATTCATTCTCCTTCCCAGGAGCTGCTTCTCCAGCTGTGTGCAAAGTGATGTGGATCTCATACAAGGCATCCCATACAAAAGGCTTTTACTGTGGGGTTCTCTCTTACTGCCCTTTCCATTTGCACTGGTAGAGCAATTCCCTTGCAAGCAACACTCAGCAGTGTCATTTCAGAACTCTGCTAATAAAACCTGTCCCATCCAACAGCATAGCATTGATGCAAGATTAGCAGAGCAGATGTGTCCTTGGTTCATTCTGTCACAGACCTGGCAGCAAAAACACCTAGAAAACCTGCAAGTTTTTCTTCTATGCCTTCCTCATTTGAGGAGAATGGCTTTGTGGAATTTGTGTGTGTTGGATTACCTGGAGTAATCGTATGTCCACAGCAAAATAAGTAGTACCATATTGGGTCAGACCAATGGTCCACTTTGCCCAGTATCCTGCCTCTGACAGCAGCAGGAGTGGTTGGTAGTGGGAGAGCACTGACCTGAGTAGATCTAGAGCAGGGGTGGGCAAAATGCGGCCCATGAGCCAGATGCGGCCTGCCAGGCCATTCTATCTGGCCTGTGGGGCCCCTAAAAATTTTTGAAAATTAATATTAATCTGTGCTATCTATGTGGCCCTCGATGGCTTGCCAAAACTCAGTAAGTGGCCCTCCACCCAAAATAATTGCCCACTCCTGATCTAGAGTGATCTGTTCCCTATCCATTATCCTTCCTGATATCCAGCATTGTTGGTATAGAGATGCCAGAGATCTCCAACCATTCTGTTCAACAGCTGTTAAACAGATCTATAATCTATTAATTTGCCTAGTTTCTTCTTCAACCTGGCTATGCTATCTGCCTTTACCACCTCCTGTGGCAATGAATCCTACAAGTTAACTGTATGTTGCGTAAAGAAAAAAAAGTGCTTTTGCCTGTTAGTTTTAAAGCTGCCTCCTAGTAATTTCAGCAAGTGCCCCCCTAGTTTTAGTATTCTGGGACTTGGTGAACAACAGTTCCCTGTTTACTTAGTCCACACCCTTCATGATTTTATAGACCTCTATCATATCCCCCCTCAGCCGCTGCCTTTCCGAACAGAAGCGTCCTAGCCTTTTTAGTCTTTTTTGGTGTGGCATCAGTTGCATACCCATGATCATTTTGGTTGGCCTTCTCTGTACCTTTTCCAATTCTACTACATCCTTTTTGAGATGTGGAGACCAGAACTGCACACAGTATTTAAGATGTGGGCACACCATGGATCTGTATAATGGCATGATGATGTTCTCCATTTTTTTTTTTTCCTATTCCCTTCCGGTACATTATCTTTCACTTATCAACACTGAAGTTCATTTGCCATTTTTTTGCTCACTCACTTAGCTTGGTGAGATCTTTCTGCAGCTCCTTCCCATTAGACTTAACTGCATGGAATAATTTGGTATCATCTGCAAACTTGGAGATTTCACTGTGCACCCATTTCCAGGTCATTGAAGAAGATCCTAAACAAAATTGGGCCCAAATATGATGCTAATTAAGAGTAAGCTATTTACTGTAGTGCAGTCCAAATGAGGCCATGAGAGGCTCAACTATTGACACTGTCAGTGGTTTGATGGATCCATTAAAGCCATGACCTATGAGCTGTACCCCTGTTCTTCTGGCTGGTAAAAGGCCAGGGGGTGGGGTGGTACTGGGCCTTGTGTTGGAGATCATCAATGTTTGTCTCAAAAATGTTGGCTAGCAAAGAGCTCGAGTCCAGCTTAAATCAACCGAGTTGACTGCATTACTCACTATGACAGCTTCCAACTGTCCTTTATGGGGAAAGGTCACTGAGAAGATTGTGGTTGGACAAATCTGGCAGTCTGAGTCTCCAGAGCTCTTTGACCTTAACAAAAAAGATCATAAACTTTCATATGCAATGAGCACAATTTTGGAGGTTTTTTGGAGCTCATTTGAGATAGTGCTGTTCATGGGGTTCAGGCAATCTCAAAGACTACATCTCTTATATCCACATACTACATAGGTTCCAATCCAGAACTAAATATGGGAGTTTGGATATGATGTTAAGGTTTGGCCCAGCTCTGTTTGAATGTGGGCTTTTGGATTTTAGTCCCCTTTGGCTCCTCTCCAGATTTCAGCAGAATAGGGCAAGTTAATGGTTCAGTGACAGGTTGACTTCTTGTGCAGATCTGTATAGCAGCCAGGGGTTACTTTTTGCAGTTCTACCCTTGTGGTAGGTTGAATCCTTTGCCTAGACTAAGGATTTGAGAAATCTTTATCTTTTCCCCATAGTCACTTCATCTGGTGGCAGCACAGACCTCTCTCCTCAGCTGACTGACCCAGATGTGCCTTCTTCCACATCAGCAGTGACCACTGAAACTGGGAGTGATGAAGTATTTATTATTTCAGCTGGCCCTGGTCCCAGTGGGTTGAGTTTTACCACATACAGAATACAGGTACACCCATATGGGCAATGGGGTTGGGGATTTAACAACTTCTGCAGGTTGGGTCCATCATTTCAAATCCACATCTCTACTTTCTCCCAGCATATCCTTTGAACACTGTACCTACCAGGTCCTTCAGGAACTCTCCTGTTTGTTATCGCTTTTCAGCCCTTCCTTATTGTAGTGGCCAATGCTTTTGCTGGTTGAGGCTGATTTGGAGATTTCATGGTTGAATAACACAGTTCCTTAACCAGAGTGGCCACAGCATGACATAATCTGTGGTTGGTCTCCATGACAAATCTGGCTGTTGTTGACTTGGAGAGCAAGTGAGACCGAATGGGATCAGAATACCAAAATTAATCTTTCATGTCGGGGGACAGCAGTGCCAACAGGTTCTATGACATGCCCAGTGCAGTTAACTTAGGTGCTAACATTTCCTGAAGATAGAATTTGGCATGAAATAATTTCTAATGATTGGAAGAAGGAACTGGGATTTGGATTTCTCACATCCTGCATCTGGCTCTGCCATGGACTCCATGGAGGCAAGTTGCATGATCACTTGTTCAGTACTTCAGTTTCTCCATTTGCCAGGAATAATTATTCTGCATGGCTGTTTCTGAAGGTTATTAGAAACCTGCCAATAAATTGGGCCTTTCCTGTGAGACTGGCAGGACTCTTTGGAGAATTAATTGTTTTTGTTTATAAAAACTAAAGCTGCATAGAGGCCTTTCTCGTCTGGCTGGTACTCGTATTAGTTCACTTTCTTGCAGGTCTTCCAGGTGTTTCTTTGGAAATGCAGATGGTTGACAAACAGTTGTGCTCACATTTGGCTCAAGCATGCAGGGTAGTGATTTAAGCATCAGTAGGTGTATCTACACGTGAAATTAAGATGAAGCAATGAGCTTCAGAGCTCTTTGAGCTGGAATAAACTGCTCCCAGGTGCAGTATTTACACATGCACCTGGGACAACAGCAGTTTGAGCTGGGGTAGAACAGGCCTGGGCTGGCAGGGGGCATGGGGAGTCGACCATGGGCTTCAGGTGGTGGGCATGAGGGTGTTGAACCTGCGGGGCTGGGTGGCAGCCAGGAGTCTGGCCCCCCTGTTTGGTCACTATCTACATGTGTATTTCAGTGCAGTTAATTACTTTGCTATAAGATAGTACTGTCCCTGACAGCAGAGTTAATTAGTTTCCTGGCGCACATGTAGACGGTAACACTTTAATGTGGGGCTAATTAGTCTACTCTGCAGTAAATTGCACATTTAGATGCACCCAGTTTAAATCACTTATGACCCAATATTTAAAATCTTTCCAGAGTCATCAGTTTGTTTTGTGCTAAGCGTAGAACAAGTGAAGGATCTTGGTAGCTTCTGTATCTCAGGTGACTCTATACCGGGGGCACTAAGTAGTGGATCTAGATTCATCAGGGGAAGGGGAGGACGAGTACGGAGGGAGCCATGGAACACCAAACCAAGAGACGCCCACAAGATCAGCCCAGGTATGTAGCAGGGTTGCCAGGATTCTATTAGACAGCAGTGGCTGGACTGCAGCAGTGGGGGGACCAGGGACAGCCACAAGGGGAATTAGGTGGATATACACAAATGCCAGAAGCATGGGAAACAAGCAGGAGGACCTAGAGCTCTTGCTAGCGAGCAACAACTTTGACCTAGTAGGACTAACTGAAACCTGGTAGGATTCTTCTCATGACTGGGTGGTGGGAATAGAGGGCTATAGGTTGTATAGGAGAAGGAGAGTAGGGGAAAAAGGTTCGGAAGTTGCTCTCTCTGTCAAAGAACAGTACACATCTTCCCTAATCAAATTAGGGTCAGAGGGTGGTCAAGCAGAGACTCTGGGGGTTAGGATCCAAGGGGCTCGGGGTGAAAGGGATCTGGTGGGGGTCTACTACAGGCCACCACAGCAGGACAATGAGCTAGACAGGAATTTTCCAAGCAGCTAGAAGAGGCTGTGAGGTCTAGAGATATGGTAGTCATGGGGGACCTTAACTACCCAGACATATGCTGGGAGGAGCAGTCAGCTAGATCCTAACCACTCTCTCAGGTTCTTAACCTGCATTCAGGAGCTCCACCTAACACAGGAAGTAAGGTGTCCCACCATGGGCAATGCCTTGCTCAACTTGGTGTTGGCCACAGGGGATGACCTAGTGGGGGACCTGCAGATTCAAGGCAACTTAAGGGACAGCGATCAACAAATGATAAAATTCACTATCCAGCAAAGGGTGGGCATTATATCCAGCAGGGCCCGGGTGCTAAACTTTAAAAAAGCTGACTTTAATAGACTCAGGGGATTGGTTAGCAGGGTGCTAGGAGCTAAGAACTTAGATGTGTTGAGGGTCCAGGATGGGTGGACATTCCTTAAGGAAACCATTCTTTGGGCTCAGAGTGAGTCAATCCCATGGCAGAGGAAAGGGGGCAAGGGGGCCAGGAAGCCCCTTTGGCTAACCAGGGGCATCCAAGATACCTTAAGGGCAAAAAAAAGAGGCGTACAGGAAGTGGAAGGAGGGGGTAGCTAACAAAGAGGAGTATACTTCTTTGGCCTGTACCTGCAGGAAGTCAGTCAGGAAGGCCAAGGCAACTCTAGAACTCAGGCTAGCGTCAGGGATTAAGGAGAATAAAAAGTCCTTCTTTAGGTATGTTGGGAGCAAAAAGAGGGTGCAGGGTAGCAGAGGACCCATACAGGATGGGCAAGGGGGCTTAAGTGATGGATAGCAGGGACAAAGCAGAGCTCTTCAGTGAGTTCTTTGCCTCTGTCTTAAATGGGAATCTAGATGAACCCTCAACATACATCACGGACACCAACAAAGGGAACGTCAGCCAACCAATGGTCGGTGCCGACAGGGTAAAAAGACACTTGGGAGGGACTGGACGTATTCAAATCACCGGGACCAGAGGGACTCCACCCACGGGTAGTGAAGGAATTGGCGGGGGTCATAGATGATCCACTGGCAAGGATATACGAGTGCTCATGGTGTTTGGGTCAGGTTCCAGAGGATTTGAAGAGGGCTAACGTCGTCTTAATATTTAAGAAGGGGAGGAAGGAGGACCTGGGGAACTATAAACCAGTCAGTCTTACCTCTATCCCTGGGAAAATCCTAGAAAAAATTATCAAGGAGCACATCTGTGGGAGCCTGCTGGCCAATGTGATGCGGAGGGGTAACCAACATGGGTTTTTAGCAGGCAGGTCCTGCCTGACTAACCTAGTTTCCTTTTATCACAAGGCCACCAATTGTTTAGATGCAGGAGTCAAGGTGGATGTTATCTATCTGGACTTTGAGAAGGCCTTTGACAAGGTATCCCATACCATCCTTATAAATAAACTGAGGGAATTTGCCTTGGATGATTACATGGTAGACTGGGTAGCAAATTGCCTCAAGGGTCACACTCAGAGGGTGGTAGTGGACAGGTTGGTGTCAACCTGGAAGATGTGGGCAGTGGAGTCCCTTGGCTCAGTTCTGTGGCCGGTGCTGTTCAACATCTTCATCGGTGATCTGGATGAGGGGTTGGGAAGCACCCTGTCCAAACTTGCAGACGACACAAAATTATGGGGGTGCATCTAACACCCTGGGGAGGAGGAACCAGATCCAGGCTGACCTAGACAGGTTGGGGAAGTGGGCAGAAAGCAACAGGATGTAATTCAATAAGGATAAGTGCAAGGTGCTGCATCTATGGAGGAAGAACTGCCATCATATTTACAGGCTGGGGGGCGACCTCCTCAGTTCCACTGAGGCAGAAAAAGATCTTGGAGTCACTGTTGACTCCAGGATGAACATGAGTCGCCAATGTGATGTAAGCAGTTAGCAGAGCCAATCACACCTTGTTGTGCATCCATAGGTGCTTCACAAACAGGTCCAGGGAAGTGATTCTCTCCCTCTATGAGGCACTGATCAGACCGCAGCTGGAATACTGTGTCCAGTTCTGGATGCCACCATTCAAGTGGGATGCAGACAACCTGGAGAGGGTCCACAGAAGAGCCACTTGCCTGATTAGAGGCCTGCAGGGAAGGCCCTATGAGGAAAGGCTAAAGGACCTTAACCTCTTCAGCCTCTCCAAGAGAAGGCTGAGAGGGGACCTTGTGGCAGCATACAGATTCATAAGGGGAGAGCAACATGAAGCAGGCGATGATCTGTTTACCATGGCACCCCCGGAACAATGGTCATAAGCTACTGGAGAGTAGGTTTAGACTGGACATTAGAAAAAGGGTCTTCATGGTCAGGGTTGCCAGAATCTGGAATGGGCTCCCAAGGGAGGTGGTGCTCGCCCCATCTTGCCAAGAAGAGACTGGACAGGCACCTGGCTGGGATCACATGACCCCAGGGCTGGTGACTTTTCTTGCCTGCCAGAGGCAGGGGGTCAGACTAGATGGCCCACTGAGGTCCCTTCTGACTATGAATCTGTAATATCTAGCTCTTATTGGAGGCCAGTATAAGGCAGTGTAGTCCCTGAAGAAATAAGTTTGGGTGGGATTTTCTTGAAGTTGTAACAAATATGCACTCAGCTGACTGACCCAGATGTACCCTCTTCCATCTCAGTAGTGACTACTGAAACAAAGATCCCAGCAGCTCCAGAGCAGCCCCCAGCCCTGCCAGTGTGGCTGGGGCCAGTCTCCTTGGCAGCCCTAGCCTTGCACTGTCATAGCGCAACTGCATCTGGGGTCTCCATGGAGACCAGCCCCAGCCATGCAGGCAGGAGCTGCTGGGAAATGGAGTCTGGCTGGACTCCGCCCACCCCTGGTTTAATGCTTGTCCTTCTTCTAGTGGCTAATTGGTCAATCTACAGCAGCACTTTGCATTTTAAAAGTCTTAGAATCTGAAGAGAAGAAACACTGTGCACAAAGAGAAATCAGTTTAGGTTTAACTATTCATAGAATCATAGAAAATTAGGAGTAGAAGGGACCTTGGGAGGTCATCTAGTCCAACCCCCTGCTCAAAGCAGGACCATCCAACTAGATCATTCCAGCCAGGGCTTTGCCAAGCCAGCCCTTAAAAACCTTCATGGGTAGTGATTCCACCATTCTAGGTAACCTGTTCAGTGCTTCACCACCCTCCTAGTGAAAGGTTTTTTTCCTACTAGCCAACCTGAACTTCCCTTGTTGCAATTCTTTGTTATCTGATGCATGCTTTCTGCCTGCATCATCACCACTGGCTCTCTATCCTGAAGTGAGTAGACTGAGAGAATAGGCCTTTGCAAGATGTATACTCTTTCTCCTGGGTGCTTCTCCCCATTGGTAAGACTACCACCTGGTGGTGATGAGAGTAGCTCAGGATGGAAAATCTGTATTTTGCCCCTTTCCTCCATAAAGTTCTGAGCATTCACAGATTCCTCAGAAATAGCCATCTTGCAGTTAATCAGCACCTTTATAGGCCATTATTGCTGTGTCCATATGATGTATTGGAGGATATAAAATGTCAAAATAACACCTCATTTGATCTTAGAGTAAAGGGCTGATAATTCAGTAGGATTCCTACATAGGTACCTGTTCCTGGCCAAACTTAAAAGACTCTGGATTAGGTGTTAAGATTCAGGCTTGTTGATGACAGATGTGGTGGACCTCGCCAGGAAGGACACAAAGAAATCTAAGTCCTGGATTTTCAGCATGCTAGGAGCCATGCTGCCTGATCTAGGAACACACTATGCCTGCATTATGGCTATTAGAAGTGCATGTACTGATTTGCACACTCGATTTAAATTCAAGGCACAGATTTGACCTTGAGTACAACTATATCTGTAGAGATTTGGAAAGAGGGCTTTTAATTTCAGCACGAGTCCCCTAATATGGCCTGATTTGTTTGCACTACCTTCTATGAGCCAGCACTGGGCACATAGTTCAGGTCATCTACTGGACTGTTGTTCTCTTGGCATGAGTTGTGACATTACCCTAATGCTTATGGAGGTGTGAAATCTTGAGCCTTTACAATAAACAAGGCTTCCAGACTTGCCTTACCAGAAATGCTTGTCTAGACAAAGAAAACTGTAAGAAGCTTTGCAGAAAAGATTATCCAAATCCTTTTACTGAGAAATAGTAGTTGGCCACCAGCTCCCTTGCCTCCCAGTGAGAATGGGCCTGAGTTCTGCTGGGGAGGGGTCAGTGATAGGCTGGCTCTTTTTTAACAACATAGCAGAAAACTAATCCACTGTCAAGAGTCAAAGCTATACGCAGGCAACAGCTGGGGGAGCAAATAAATTCTGCATTGTGCTACTGCAGTTGTGGAGGTGAGGAAAGATGCTGATGAGTGGAGGAAATGCATCCTGGCTATATTGTGTGGGCATATAGACAACCTCTAAGAAAACAAGCAGTGTGTCTATTTTAGAACAACTCTTAAGCCTGTGTTTTTTACCTTCACCATCTGCTTCTCTTTGTACTGCAGTCTATTGATAGCATTTGTTTGACTTTTTAAAGGGGATCCATGGCTCTGCATCTTGGCTTTTTATGGTGTGCTGTGTTCTTGGGCAGCACGCCAGTAGCAGGGACATCATGAATGTAACATGAATTTTACAGGCAACTTACACAGTGTGCTTCAGCCCTCTTTATGGCTAGACTGACTAAAGGGGACCTCAGTTTGCTGCTGCCATAAGCTAATAGATCACAGTCTTCTAGCCCAGGCAGTACAAGCTCTTGGTTTTAGACTGAGAAGTTTGTAGGAGCTAGAATTGGAGGAGGGTGAGGATGGTGGAGATGTGAATCATGCTTTTTATAATAAACCACCAGGTCCAGAAATATTTTGGATCCATATCCTTTGAAAAGAAGCTAGATTCATGTAAATTCATGTTACATTCATTTTTTATTTGAAAAAAGCAAGGAAACATGACACTGAGGTTAAGCTATTACTGATATTAAACTACATATGAAATAAAGCCACCAGTGTGTCAGGACCAATTATTGGAATTAAATCCTACCATTAGCTTTTTTTTAAAAGCTTAATATTGAAAGCAATATTGTTCAACATTTGAACCACAACCTCTGAGCCAATATGCTTCTTTCTTAGCCAACAAAAAAGAACAGAATTCTGTTCTTCCCCTGGACCTATACCTTGACAAATCACTTCTGCTTAGCAGAAGCTACAGGGGACAGTCAAATTTGGTCCAATCAGGTTCAAACTAAGTTATCTTTAGCCTTGGTTCTCAAGGGTTCACTTAAAACTAGTAACTTTAAAAATGTTCAGGTTTCATATATCACAGACAATTTAGAAAAGAATAATGCCAGGCACAACTACTCTGTGGGGTGGGTAACATGGTGGGTTTATTGCTTCCTGTTTTAACCATACTGTAGACAGGTGATGTACAGACTGACCTATCTTATTCCATTCAAAGAACCAAAGTCCTTCCTCTGACAGCTGTAGTCCTTTTATGCCACTGAGGCCTTAGCTAGTAAAGTGGTTTGGAGATCATTGGCCAAAAGAAACCGAAAATGATCCTCACTTAACTTTTTTTGCTCTTGTAGGACAAAAAACTAAAGAGAAGTATCACGAGTCCAGCCTCTGTGTCCAGTTGGCTGACTTCTGATCACTTGGCCCCAGGAGCAGGCACCATCGACAAAGGGAATGTAGCAGCAGAAAACCATTATTCAAGACAACGAACTTGGAGTGCCCGAACTTTTCAAGATTTATTGGCTCCAATACCTCAGTTACAGAAAAAATGGCGCAGTTGGAGCACTACCAGCCCCTTCAGCAAGCTGGTGGACAGCGGTGTAAGTATTTACAAGGAAGAAACAGGAATTGCATTCCATGCCCCTAATGACACCCAAAGAAAGGTTGATATTGCACAGCAACTCTGCTGCTTTCTTTTACAAGCTCCCCTTCCCTTCCTAATTGTTTGAGCTCTAATGGTCCAGTCCCCAGCGTTCTTATTTCTGAAAAACAAATCATGAGGGGCTTGATCCTAAAGTGCTGATGGGAAGCTGCATTTCCCAGGCTTAAGCACTTGGATGAAGGACTGCGTACTCTTTAGAAACAGTCTCAAATCACTGGCATATCTTTTTCTGGTTACATCGTAGTTTCTTTCAGTTGTTTTTCTGTACTGTGGGAAACCCGTAGGCCCAAGATCGTCTCATTGATTTCTGAAGTCCGCAAACTTAAAGCCTGTTCTAGAACTAACAAAAATCCTTTTCTATCTCCACAACCTAGTGCTTTGGGAAAAGAAAGGAAGCAGTATGGCTTCTCAACCAGGGCAAGATATTTAACTGTTAACTCCTATATGTTTAAAAGCCTGTTCTGTTAACTTATTCTTTTGGCAGCATTTTTCTACATCTTCAAGAAACCAGGGTGCAGCAACTAGAAAAGTAATTTCTGACACTGAGGTAGAGGGCACCTCTGAGCCTGTTTACTCTGATTCATCCACCAGTAATGCATCATACCCACTAACCCAGTCTGCACAGAGGCAGCGGAAGCTGAGCTCCTGTAACTTGAAGAAATCCAGGTTTGGGAACCCCTACTTTGGGTTTTTAACCAGCTCCCCTGATTGCAAACATGCGAGGTCTTTGGATTCTTCAAGACACTTGGGGGCCATATCTTCAATTGACAGCCAAAGCCAGAGCCCAAAAAACTGTCTTGAAGGCTCCTTCCCTTTGAAAAGCAGTTTGGTCAGTGGCTCAAAGACCAAGGAGTTCTCATTAGAAACAGACAAAGCCAGTCACACCTTTGTTATTTCTGAAGAAGGGGATGATCAGCAACCTTTGGTCCTAGCAGAGCATCTGAGTCAATGTGGAGAGGCTCTGCCTGAGCAAACTTTCACATGTGTTCCAGTGAAGGCTAGGCTGGATAAATCACCTGTGGCTCTGACTGGAAAGGGAGATGGGCCTGTTAGGCACCCCAACTTCATACCTGATGTCCCTCTTTGGGGAAAGTCTCCTGGCTTAGGCAAGGAACATCTGAGGACCTGTAGCTCTTCCAGAGACCAGCATAGATCACCTATTGCAGGCACCAGTACCACTAAATCATCACAGAAGAGTGATGCCATGGATGCTTGTACATCAAGTCAAACGTCAGTTCAGTGATGCTTTCAGACTTAACCTGAGCGACTAAAAGCATCAGGGTGCAAGAACAGATGCACTAAGCTGCTGTTATCTTCTGTGGTGGAACAGTCAGGCCTGTGGGGAGTGGCAACTTTGCTTAATTTGTTTCTCCTCCCTATCAGCAGAGTAGAGTTATGGGTATAAACTGACAGCAGTGTGTAAAAGTCATATTCATCATGTTCACCTGGGCTTAATGAATGTAACGAAGTCCTAGCCCTAGTTCCATTCTTCTGGCATGGAATTTTGATTGCAAAGTATGGAAGAGTGATGAAATGACTCCATAAACAGGTTTTAATACTGAATAACCATGATCTTGCAGTAGGGTAAAGGAAAAATTTGATTTACAACTTTGGCTTGTGGTGTGAAATGGAAACCAGTCCTCAGGGTCTTTGTGATATTTCTTTTTGTATTTTTTTGTCTACAGTATATGAACCAAATTCGGCTCTCGGGCACATCTGCACAATTCAAGTTACACCTGGCTAGCTAGCCAAGGGTAGAATTTGAACTTGCATGTTTATGGATTTAAAAAAAACAAACAAACACATTAATTTCTTTTAAACCATGTTTCTATAGCTGGTGACTTTCACTTGGGCACAAAGCCTAATTATCAACTGTTTTCTGGTTATTAAAAGACATCTAGGCCTTCAGACACCATAGTAGTGAAAGTAAAGTGTTAGCATTCTGTCTGATGTCATCCAAATTAACATAAGCTCCAACATTTCAGTAGCATGTCACGCTTTCTACCTTCTTTGTTTTGTTATTTTTAGCAGACACACATTAAGGGAGCACTACATTCTTTTTAAGCAATTCTTCATGGCAACAGGAATATGTATACAAGGTAACAAAATAGTTAGTAGGAATAAAGTTATCAGTGTCCGTTTCTTGATAGTTTATAATACTGCTCTTTATAATACTGTATTAACCAACTATTTATTGCTGGTAACGCACATTGACTGGAGAACTATTTTCCCTTCCTTCAGCAGGCAAGACTTAAAGACTAAGTGGGGCAGACTTCAGAATGCTCTCTGTAGAAATGAACTCCTAAGTCGCTGTGCCACCCTGATTTAAAGCCAAGGTTTGCAACATAAGACTGAACCAAAGGGAATTCTGCTAATCCGATTGCCTTTAAGAACTGTATCAGTATTTTAATCGCCTCCCAATGATATTTTACTGTTTCAGCAAGAAGTACATGTGTACGCAAGCTACAACAAGCATGATCTGGCTTTCCTAAAGTTAAGGAATTTTTTTGTGGACTGCTTTAAACTGATAAAAGGCTCCAAATACACCATAAGACAGGTGCGAGAAGGGGGGGGGGGAATCAACAAGTCAAATCTGCCTCATGTCCACTATACCATGAATCAAATGAGGGATCTTAATCCTTCCAGACAAAGGCATCCAAGTCTGGCTTCTAAAAAACTTAACCCCAGTTTGGTCCTGACTTATTTATGATTTCATCTGCTATTCTAGCTTTCCTCTGCCATCTCTTAGTGTCTGAAATGCATAACACATGGTCATAATTTTGTTTAGCATTTGTTTATGCACACAGAATTAGAACTATTGTGTGGTAATGACAGTGGTCACATTGAAGAAGAATATGCCTTTTGGTAGCTTGTTCTCCAAAAATGAACCACACAAAGAGGCCTCAGCTAACTTTAATATCTACCAGTCTGCCCTAAACAAAGAACACAGAACCCTAGCTCTAGGTTTTTTTTAATAGTACATGAATTAAAGGGAAGAGTTAATATATTTATGACTTAAAACGTTTAGATTTCTGCAATACTCTGTATTTTAATAAAGAATGTAATTGTGTTGGCTTCCATATACAATGCTACATTGTAATGCAAAAGCATTACGCTATGTTACTTATGTTGTTAGATTTCTAATTATCAAGAACTGAGGAATCATCTTCAAAAATATTACTTGGGTGACCAGTACCCATCAGCAACTGCTGTTGGGGATGGGTGGAGAGGGGAAAAGAACAAAATACTTTACAATAAAAGTATCACATGTTAATTTTCTTAGTGCAGAGGCAATTTATTAGACTCTTGATTCTGTTTCTAGTGTCTGTACCTACTGTATCAGTATCATACATGCCAGGATAGTCTTTCACAATGTGCTTGAAGTATTCCTTCAGCCTCTTCTCCCTCACACAAAACACTAGCTAGCAGCTGGTAGCAGGACTTCCAAAGGCAGTATAAGGCAGCCCTGTTTTGCTCACTAATAATAAAAAAACTGGGTTCTGTGACAGTAGTTTTCTTTTCTTTAACAGCTCTACTGTTCACAAGAGGCCAAAACAACAGGGAAGAGAGGATTATACGAAGACACTTCATAGACTTGAATACACAGTTATTACCTTAATTTGACTGAGATTAGTTTTTAATGAGTTTCATTAATACTGAAGGGCTGTCCTATGAAACCATGGATGTACTAGAGGCAGGGGGTTGGGCAGGAAAATGCACTCAACTGGTAGAAACAATACCATGACCTTACTTTCAGCCATTTTTAAGGTCCAGCAGATTACAAAGCAATACCATTACTTTTTCACACTCCTAAGAAATAAGTCATTGTGGTGCAGGCAAACGGGTTATCAACTCTGACTTATCACCTACCACAACCCACTTGTTCATTTTATTTTGTTTTGTTTTTGAAATAAGTCAAAGTATGTTAAATATGGTAAATTACTCAGCAGTAAGTTCCAAATGATTTATGGATGGATAGGCTGAGGGTAAGGAAGTGACAGGACTCCAGCTAATAGTCAGTTAATCCAAAACAGCTGTAACAGATAAGAAGAAAATACCCATCTTGAAAACTGAATATAAAAATTTAAAAAATATGCATGTTCTTTTTGGGGGTGCCTTTTGAAGTTAAGCCTCATCTGGCACATTTAAGTAGTGAATTAAAAAAAATTATATGGACGTTAATGACCTGAGGCATGAAATTACATTATTGAAAGTCAGAATGGGTAGATGTGAAAAAGCAATCTTCACATATTAAGTGCTGCTGAAAGAAATAGTATAATTAGGTTGGGGGGGGGGTTCCAGAAAATGCTCAACAGACTGCAATTTGGGTTTCTGCTCCCAAATACAATACTGTCACTGAGAAGGACCCCAGCCTGATGGCTGGCAAGTGCCTTATTTACAGCTCTCTAGATTGCAAGAGGGGAATTTTTATTCAGTATTATTTTTGAAGCGTGAAGGATAGCTAGCTCAAGCCATAGGTGGTATGGATTAGCTACAGTATTAAAAGATTTTTAATTCCCAACTTAGCTTGTGAAAACTGTAACAATTCAAAATGCTAGGATCCTAACCTGCTCTTTAAAACTTTCAAGTCTTGATAATTTTGGCTTCAGTATTTTCAAAGTCAAATTAATAGCTTTAAAAACTCTTCTCACTAGACCCATGAATGCAGTTTCTTATAGCAGAATCTAACTTTTTCACTTGTAGTAGTTATTCGTAATCTTAGGTCCTGTACTTCTGAACTAGACCACTGAGAATATATTTACTATTACAGTAGCATTAGTTTCTGTGCTGGCTTTTAAATGTTACTTTAGGTACAGTCAGTAATGGTGATAGGTACTATGGAATTGCTGAAGTACCCGTTCCTCAAGTCAGAAGAGAATCCAGTTCTTTAGTAGGAAATAAATGGTTTGTTCCTGCCCCTGGGACTGAAGTTCCTTATTTACCAGACTTGTATTTGTGTAGTTGCTTGAGTGCAGCAGAGCTAGAGTTGTCATACAGCTAACTTGTTATAAAATCTGGAAGGGGTAAGAATCCTATTCAACTGTCTGACTGTATTTTAAAGGAGGCTAAACTGAAACCCTGCAGTGCCATAAGACAAGGGCCATCTCCACACTCCGTTATTACAAGTTCAAGTTGGATACCCTCTTGTATCAAATATTAGCTACTTTCAAGGGATGGCAACAAGACCAACCATTAGAAAAAGCATCCTATTGCTCTGAGTGCGGAGGTGAAAGATTCCCACCACAGAAGAAACACCAAGCTTCAGTGAGTTGTTTTTTTTATTAATAACATTTTAGTCCAGAAAAGTCACAAAAAATTGGAAGAACTACGCTCCACTTTCTTTATAAGAGAACTTTCTCAAAAGAGGGAGCCTATCTTATTCACTGCTACATTAAACCCTATCATAATTAACCTGATTTTCACAACACCTATCTATAACAGTTCACGCTTAGCTCCCAAATCTCTCTTATAAAGAAGGTGGGGGTGTGCTTAGGTTAAAAAATATGCTGCACCTTTACACTATTTAAACAATTACACAAGCATAGTTTATACAGTTATCACATGAAACTAATATCACCTGGCAACCATACATTTAAAAAGAACTGGTATAGAGAGTATGTAATACCCATGAAAGATGCCCTTAGTTACTTAAGAGCATATAAAGATCAGGATTTATTCACCCTCCCTATTTGCAAGAAAGTTTCTTAGCTCTTCCAAGTACAATATATCCACAAAAGAGTCATTCAATTGCACTACTTCAACCCCCTATGCATAGAAAGGCAGATTTATTCTCTAAATGGAGAAAAAAAAAAGAGGGTATATCCAAGTAATTTCACAAATCTCTACTGTACAGGTAGTTTAGATGTTAAGAGCATGAGATTTTTCTTTCAAATTTTAGTAAGTTGTGTAATACACATCCCTATACACACAAACAGCTTGAGTAAGTGCAAGTGAAATTGTACACAGTACTGTAGACATGTTCTGTAACTCAACAAAAGAAATTCAGCACGCTAGGGACTTGAACTCTAGCCTGGGGCCAAGCCCATGCTGAAAGCTTATCTGGGGTGTGGAAAAAGTGGCGAGTGAGAATGCAAACGACATTTCTGCATGTAATGTGCAAAGGCATTTTTCTTCCACAATGCATGCAATTTGCTACATGCACAGCCAGCAATGAAACTGAGACCAGACAGCTGGGAATAGTTGTCCTGAGAAGATACAATATAACTATTCATCCAATCCCTTTCTTCCCCTCCCCCCCCCCCAAAAAAAACCCCAAAAAGACAAACAACAACCCAAAAACTTTCTAAATATAAAATAATGCAACAGAATATTTGTTAGTTTATAGTAAAAAAAGTAGAAACAAACTCTTGTTGTTACATTTCAAGTATTATTCCAGATCTGATTTCAATCTTACTCACAGGAAAAAATGCCCAGAGATTAGGAAGAGAAATCCACACAAAGTGTACTTTTTAATTGCATCAGGGATATTGTCCATAGACCCATCCTTGCTGCAGCTATTCTTAAGAATAAAAATCTGAGCACAAATGCATTATTTTTAATTAGCATTTATATTAAAAGTGTGCAGCACTGGATATATTGGTTTAATTAACTGACACTGAATAGATACAATGTGCTGTGTTATCTTGTGCTCCCTACTATTGTATGTATTTAGTACTGAAATATAAATTTTGTTTGCAAAACAAGGCTCATTTAAAATAACAATATATATACAGAGGTAATTTTGTACTCTTTTCTCCCATTCTGCTTTGTTCTCCTGGACTTAAAAAACCAAAAAACTGGTGTACTCAAATGCATGATTATGACATATTTGCGTACACTCAGTTTTTATTTTTATTTTATTATGCTCAGAAAGCTTTTTTAAACACACACTTGGAAAAAAAAAGTGTAGCCTACAATCACTCAATATGTCACTGACATCAGTGTCCCTTTTTATAATCCCTCCTCCCAATGCAAAAGAATTCCTCCGTATTGCTCAAGTTCATCTGTTGTGGAGCTGTTTTGTAGATAATTTCTGCTAAAGTGACAGCCTTTTAAAACTTTTTCACCAAATGTATATGTGCTACAGCCTAACAAATGAAAAATGCATTTAAAAAAATTGCACTAACTTGTTTTACTGACTGCTTTGTACCAGGAATATTGTTTTGGTCTTTTGATATAATGTTGCTCTACAGATAATAAACAGAAGTTTGTTCAGACATAGGCAACTACTGCTGCAAATTTGAATTTGGTTTGTAAATGATTGTGTATTTTTTATCTTTAACATTGAAGAGAAACAGGACTACTAAACTAAAAAAAAGTAATAGTTTGCTGTCATAGCACTGTACATACTATTAGGGCAGCAACCTGAAGTTGCTTGTTGTTGAAAGGATAGGGGAAAGTAAGTAGTTAAATGCATGTTCTGATGAGCATATAATCAATCAGCTCTTTTTTGAAAATTGACGAATATTAATGGCATATTTAATGAATATTAATGGATTTTCTAGCCCTACTACAATAATACCAGAGTACAACAAAATGCAGACTTAGTTTCCTTTTTTTGGGACATTAATGGCTCCTGAAATATCCAACAAGATACTGGTACAAATCATTTATATTTTAAAATCTAAGGATTTCTCTCATTTTCTGCCACATTTAGTGCAAACACATTCCTTGCTCATTCTTAGGTCCTCCAATTTATGGCTGTTATTTGAGCATAGTGAAATAGGGACGCTGTACTAATGAGGATGGAATGCAATGCTTTTCACTTTTCTTTTCTTTTTTTAAACAAAGGTTTTCTACCTTACTCATATACAACTGTAAGACTCTACAAATTAAAAAAGTCACACCAGAGTACCTGATGCAAGTTATTGACTCCCTGCTATGAGGGAACTAAGAACATCCCCTGAAAACATTTACTGTAAGATCTGTATTTCAGGCTTCATCCTCTCCCTACAGACTACAAATATTTAGTTCTTGAAACGTGTCTGTTCACAAATGTGATTGAATTTCCTGAAATAAAAAAAACAAAAAATAAAGTATTAAGCTTTAATATAGCTGCAAGTAGTAATATACCATGAAAAAGTCAAGGCTATATCCCATAGGATATTTAAAAAAAAAAATAAAGCAATGAAAACTTAAAGTAACACATTTATATGTTAATCTTACCTGTTATTCAAAAAACTGAAAACCAAGAAGCCTGTTACGTTAACTAAAGGTAGAATTCAATCTCATTTTCCCACAACATTTTTTTTTTGTATCTCTACTACCTAATACTTGTTAATTATGTTATGCATAAAGAAAACTTGTTAACGATGTTCTTCCATACTATTACATACTTTAAATACAGGATACATAGAGAAAGGACACAATAATAAAATCGTGCCTGCCCTGACAGCATAGTAACCAAGACTGGCAGTTAAACAGGCTTCAGGACACATTACTCAGGCTTATAAATTTCAACATAAAATGTGTTCTCTGATTTTTGCAATCAAAGATGACTTGCAATCTCTCTGGCACTAAAGTTAAAAAAAAAAAAAAAAATTCCCACTTGAGGCAGACAGCACGATGAGTTAGTTTACATTCAGGAAGCATAGTGTTCATCCTGGTAACCACAAATTCTAGGCAGAAACTACATTTTTACTGCCAACAACTTATCTGTTTTGCCCTTGTGGGAAGGAACATTTAATCCACACAGGGAAAAACACAAATTGGGAACCAGCTGTATTTATGTTTGAACATGAAGTAGGACTGAGGTTGAAGTAATTCAAGTGCAAGATTAAAGCAAAACCTGATTTGCACTAAGCAAAACTATTTTGCTAATGGATCAGGTGGTGTAAAATGCAATGAATGTTCAAGTGGTGCTGTAACAGGGGTTTGCATTTTTCCATCCCTGTGGAACCAGAAGTTTGTCCAAGACTTGCAGAACATTAACGGGGTTAAGAAAAAGCTAGTCTCTTCTAAAGCTTCCTTCAGTCTTTATTCCAGAAGCAAACAAAAACAAACCTACAACTCATCTTCAATCTGTGTAGAAAGGCTGGCAAGCTTTGAAACTGAATTAATTTCCTAAACTTCAACAAGAAAATTTCCCTTGGTAACAGGACTCAGAACTACAGAAAGCTTTGGTGTTTTGGATTTAGATTTCCAAATCACAAACAAAAAAGGATTAATTTGGTGTTTACACTGCAAAATCTTTACTTCTGAAAGATGCTGAAAATGAACATTTTTAATGTCTTTCTAATGATCTGCCTGCATAAGCTGCAAAGACTAATTATTCTCAGTCCATAGTAGTCATAACATTAAAGGAAAATTATGGTAATTGCATATTCTTGTTACAGGATTAGATGAGTATAGAGCAGGGCCCTTCATTCATTAAAACACTCTCTCAATAGAATGGGAAGTGACAGCTTTTCTTTACGAATTGTACTGAGAACTTGTATCATTATTCAAAAATGAGTCTTTCTATCTATACTTCCTGCTGAACAGTCAGTCAACTGCCAGCTAAGCAAGCTAGTTTTTTGTTTTGTTTTGGAGTCCTATAACTCCTGACCAAATTCAGGCTTAAAACTGAACAAGTACAACTTCCCTGAAAACAGAGCAGCTGCACTGTCTACTCCAGCTCCTGTGATGAAAAACAGCTTGCCTGCAAGATCAGGCATTTCCAGTACAGCCTATGGGAACCATTCTGAGCTAAATTACTGATCAGAGTACTTCTAAGAAGAAAAGCTCCTGTGTATCCTTAGTTAAAGCAGTGGTAGTTTGGAAGAAAGAAAAAAGAGAGACCAAGAAATCCCACCCAACTCGTATTTAGTGGTCAGACCTTTTATTGCCTTTCTGGTACCAGTCTACCAAACGGCCTACCCAGAAGTCTCATCTTTCTTTCACAGATGGATCTGGAGTCTATATTCCCCAGAAGCATTACACACTCAAGTAGCGAATGTGCATCCCCTTCATCTGCTCCCCTTTGCCCCCTCTACACACATACACACTTCACCTAGTGCAACTCATACATTTGAGCACTGAATCAGACTTTGGAAACAAGGACTGGCAGGTCACTTCAGATTACTGTGGCTGCAAAGTGTTACCATCTCCTCAGATTCACCCCAATTTTTTTTTGCAGCGACAAAAAACAGAATAAGAAAGAATGAAACTGGGCCAAAATGATTAGTTCAGTTCACAGCTGCTAGTGTGACCACTTTTTTGATTTCCACCTGCATGGAGTTCTTATTTGAATTTCAAGTGTGTATACAACCTAAGTGAACATCTCTACGGATCATGTGGTTTCAAATAGGAATCACTGGTTATAACAATCTCAGTTAGAACCGAACCAACACACGTTAAAAAAGTCCATGGGTTTCAATTCCAAAGCAAAACAACAACAAAAAAAAGAAAAGTCGCCTAGTTTGGGTTTGTACTGCAGAAGCCTCTTTTTTATGAACCCTAGATAGGATCCATAATTTGAGAATGACTGTATTTAGACCTCTGGATGGATTAATTAAGCTAAAGAAAAAAGTTATGAAACGTACGACTTACATAGCATGGTGTGCTTTAACCTGAGTCCGACAGTTGCGCCCCCAGTAGCAATCAGGACGTGATGTGACAGTCACTATTAAATAAGCCAAAAAATAACATATTCATTGTAATTTTTCAGTAAGAGATGCAGCAAATAACAACAGATGTAACTGAAGTTCATTAGCAACCCTCATTAAGTGATTTTCAGTTTACAAATAGATGCTACAAGGAAAAAGTGCATCCTTTTTGCACCACAGTGCAGGAAGTTACACTATTATTACTTTTTTAACACTGCTTACTAAAGCACAGAGATGCCCATTTGGAATTGGAAGGTAACAGGCTGCCAATGTAAAAGGATTTGTTCCTGCACTATTGAAACCATACACTTCAATAGAAATAAGATCAAGATACCAGACATCAGTGACAATTTAGATACGTTAGCAAACAGGACTTGAGAAAAAAACATGTACAGTTCATTTGAATTTTTCTAGTTTTTCCCACAGCTATAATAGATGTAAG